CCCCAAAACCCCAAAACCCCAAAACCCCAAAACCCCATATAGTATAAATCGTATGGAATATAAGGGATTATAAATAATTTTAGATAAATATGAACATTATTGAGAAACAGAGTAATGCAAGAGCGATGAAGGCGTCTTGGAGGAAGGATGGATGTACTGAGAGGATGGAAGCGGATAAGTTAGGAGTTGAGAGGGGAGATTTTGATGATGATATGTGAGAGATCCCTGATGAGTGACCAGTTTTGGGAAATAGGATGAGTCCAGACAAAGAGTACCATTCTAGCCTCCTCTCTATTGACAAAGGGGGTATCAAAAGTCAGGAGTTTGACTATTTCATGGATCAACTTGAGTGTCAATTTACCAAGAGATGTTCTTTGCCAGATAAACCACAGTCTATATTGATTAAGAAGGAAACTGAGCATGCTCAAAATCGTACGAGAGGGTCTAGTTTAATGATTAAGAAAATGAAGTTTACCCAAAGAAATGAAGTTGAAAACGTCCATGAATTATCAAACCTCTCTATTCCTGCCTATATCTCAGCAAATCAGCTGCCTAGAGATGCTAATAAAGTTAGAGATAATTTGGTAAACCATGAAAATTCAAGAGACTGTAACTCCAACCAAATAGAAGAGATGAGTGGTGATATTTCCAACTCCCTTTCCTCTGAGTCTTATATACCAATTCCAGTAACCATGAGCGACGTAGAAGCTGGTATATATCACGCTTATTAACCTAATTAATAATTAACAATACTTTGATTACTAATTGATGCCTGTGATTTAGGTTTTGCCAGTTTACATATAATAAGGTGAATAAACTTCCATACTCCTTTAATTATCTAAATTTTGAAATGCCCATTTAGACTTTAGAAGCTAATTTTAAGAGGACATAATATTGTTATAGACCGCTCCAGCTTCAGATACTATATTGTGGTTTTTTTCAGAGAGGAAGAACTTTATTCTTAATAAAATTTGTCCAAATTTGTCATGTTTCCAGCACTATTTGATTTGGTTTATTCATCTAGCCTACTGGATGAATCAAAAGCAGAGATGAGAACAAAATACTATCTCTTAATTTTAAATTATATTAAAGAGAAGACTTCATCTTATCGTACTTCTCATGTGATGAAATAATCAGCAAGTTAAATTAAAACTGATTTAATCACTGAAATTGTTGATGAGGAATCATCATTTAATGCTGATGTTCATAATTAATAATAATTCGAAACTTTTGAAATTTCTACAATTTATTAGAAAATTTCAGAAAATTGTCTAATAATAGTGCATTTAATTTTATAGATTAAGAAACTTAACTTCAAACGAACACTCTGTTTATCGAATTTGTAATAAGTAGATCTTTAAACTTCTACATTCAAGTCTGATGGAACGGCTGATCTCTCTATAATGATATCATAGGTTCATCCAGTGCTTATGAAAACTGAAATTTTTCTCTCAAAATTAACTATTAACTCGAATAACTTTAGATGTATAAAGGGGTTTCGCTTAAAAATTAAGGCTACTCCAGCCTCTTTACTGCGTTCCCATATTTTATTAACTAAAATTGTTAATAAAGTGAAAGATTACGATTAATAATCATTAAGAACTCTATCTGGGTTAATTTTCAGAAGCCAGGAGGCTTCAAAAATGCATAACTTGTTTGATGTATTTTTTAATCGCATTCGTTACGATTAGTGTTCGCGTTTGTTACTTGTTACTCTTTCCTTGATGCTTGCCATCCAACAGTGACTTAAGACAACCTCCTAAGCTAGTATTGTTATATCAATGAGCTCTGTTTGGTATTGGAATTAGATGAAATTACTGCAAATGCACACTCTTGACCCAAATTCCTTTGAAAACTGAGAGCAGCCAAATAATAGGAAAAATTCATGAAAATTTGTCAAAGATACTATTAAAAGTTGATTTTTCCCCTTAAATTAGGAGATTTAGCAACTATAATAGAAACGTAGACCTATAAATTTTACATAGAGAATTCAAAGTTACACTTGTTGGGAAACAAGTGCGTTATACTTTTTCGGAAATCAGAAATGGTTGCTCAATGTTAAAACTCGATTAAAACAATCAGAAAATTCAAAACCTTGGTCACAATTGAGTCATCAGCTTATCTTGCCCTTGGAAGTACCTAATATGATAATTAACAGAGTGAAAACACCCTCTGAAATTATCTCAGAGGTCTAATAAGCTAAATATCTCTAATTTTCTTTCTATTTATTCAAAAAATTACTAATTTTAATTGGAAAGAAATAAGAATCTAAATTTTGCCCTTACAAGTATGGTCTCAAGAGGCTGTTTTGCTTCAGAGGGGATATGCCTACAAATATGTTATGAAATAATCCCACCACAAACATGATAATACGTTACAGTGTCACGCATAATCCAGAGATCCAAAAATTTCAAGTGTAGTAAACGCTGAGATTCAATTGAAGCTATTTCAACCTTCTAAACCAAAAAGAAAATGTTTCATTTTGTCATACTAACGAGATAGATGATCCATCGAATCAGGCTAGACCAAGCCTGACTATCTTATTCAATGTTCCATCTAAATGTAGACAAAAGACTTATTTTTCCCTACCTCAATCAGCATACCCAAATTTAACCAAAATTTAATATTTCCCGATATTCTACTCCATTAACTTACATTTCTAAGAACTAGTTTCAAAAACTAAAACATTGGCAAATCAATAAACCCCCTTTGATAAGTCCTTGCTAATTTAGAGCCACTTCTAGCCGATGCCTAAGCTAAGTAACAACCATAATAACTTTCTCATAGACTCCTCTCATATCTTCAAAACAAGTAACAAAATGTCTCCATTTCCACACACCCCCAAAATATCTCCAAAATAAACAACTTAAAACCCAATTTCACCCAAATTCGTTTCATTTCCTCTCTCCTCCTACTTGTCCAAAATCCAAAATCCCAATCTCTCGCCCAAACCCACCAAATTCACATCCTCCCTCTGACAATTTTCAACACAAAAAATTCTCAAATTTAGAAATTTCTGCAAAATTCAACTTTTTCTTCCTGAAACACACTTTTTTAGGAAAATTGATGGCTGAAATATCCAGAATCATGGACAGGTCTTCAGAAAGCAGCTTTGGATGTACAGGTTTCGAGCTGGATGAGGAGGGGTTGGGGTGGAGGGGAGGGAGCACAGGGGGAGCTTGGATTTGGGAATTTTGGAGGTGAGAAAAGGATTTTGGAAAATTTGGAGATTTTAGGGGATTCAATGTAAACTGTGTTTTGAGGGGTTTTGGGGTTTTGGGGTTTTGGGG